ACCGTACGAACGACGAGTAGAGAGTACGTGTGTGACGTATAGTATCGTACTACTAACTAACTACACACACCACCCCTCCCTCCTCTCCTCTCTCTTCTTCCTCCTCTCTCTCTCTCTCTCTCTCTCTCTCTCTCCCCCTCCCCTCCTCTCTCTCTCTCTCTCTCTCTCTCTCTCTTTTCCCCTGTCTTCGTCTCTCTGTGCATGCACATGCATATAGATGATGTGGTTACCTTTGTGCGGTATTATGCTCTATGTGGTTAGCATATTATGTTAAAATGGTTTTTAGTTTCAGATTGGAGCTTTTTTGTGTGATTGATAGTTCTCTTAATATTTATGAGTAAGAATAACTTAAAGAGCATGCAGCTGCTATCTAAAAGATATGAGTAGTCCAATTGGTATTTTTTGAGGACTGCCTTGTTATATCTTTGTTATTAATAATTGGAAAAAGTTGATATATCGTTGCAGCTCTAGTTGTAGAAGTAAGGCTGCAGTAATATATGCCCTTAATAATTTTATTTACCAAAATACGTTAGTATCATTTCAAGTCGCGATTTATAATATTTTTTGGTAATTTTTAATTTTGATACATTGAATGGAAGACATATTGGTTTCACTAACTTTTTCGAGCTCATGGATTTAGATAATTGGAGTGTCAAGGCAATTAGGAGGAAAACTACGGGGACAGGGCGCATGAGGTATCTTCGTCACATGGCACGAAGGTTTAAGAGTGGTTTCAGAGAAGGTATGTCTATGGTTCCTTTATCCTAAAGGGAAATATACAATAATTCTAAGAACTATGGAGAAACCATCGTCCATATATATGGTTTCCCTTGTCCTAAAGGGAAATATAGAATAATTCTAAGAAGTATGGAAAAACCATAGATCTTATGGTCATCACCATATTGGGCATCTCTAGAGATAGAAAGTAAAGGAGATGGAGAGGACCTGCTATTGATGTCTTGGTTTTTTGGGTCCCATTCTCTCTCCATTACTATCCATCATTTCAAAGGACAGTGCGTCATGAAGATCAAGATCTTTCCCTAGTATGTCTTTTCTGTACCTAATATTAATGTCTAAAAGTTTGCCGAGCCAACTTAGAGCTACCTGTGTTAGTTTGGGACTGAGGGGGGAACTAGTCCATGTCTCTTCGAAATTGGTGGATTTAAAAAGAAAAAAGATTTTTTTGAGCAAATCCCTAATCCGACATTTTTAATGGTTCTCATTCATTTATTCATCAAAAAATCATGAAACCAGTGTCAAATGGTTAATTGTGCCCTCTTTCCTATTTATACAAGCATTTTTTAATGTCAAATAGTTAATTGTGCCCTCTTTCCTGTATATACGAAAGCATTTTTTAAATTAAAAAACAAAATAGATGAAATTAATAAGTCCAAATGTTGGGGATTTTTGAACCCAAATCTTATTTTTTCATGTAATTTGTTCAAAATTGTCCAAAAATGTTCCTATCACATTTTGATCTACAAAAGTCCTTAAATGTTTTGTATCTCGACAAAAAAATATTTAAGATAAATTTTAGTTTTTTCCCCACCATTTTCTTTTTGAAGGGTTTTTTATTTTATATTTTCATTTTGGTTTAATTTATTGCTCCTATTAGATGAAATCAAATATTTGGTTTTGATTTGTAAGTGTTTCTTTCTTTTATTTTCTTTGCCAATATTTCATCCCTGAAATTTATTTTTTCTCTATTCTTTCCATTGTTTGAACACCATGAACTGCTGCCGATCTGGCTCTTGATAGATCAGCCGGTTCGACTTGGAACCGGTGGTTAACCGATCCGATCCACTGGTCTAATGTTTGAAACACTGCCTCATATTATGGAAGAAAAGTTCATACCTAAGCATAGCCTTCTCATACTGTTCCAATTCTCTTTCTGCTCATCCAGGAACTGAAGCAGCACCCAGGAGGAAGACTGCTACTTGATCATGAGTCAACGATAAAGCAGATTACGAAGCACACATTCACGTCCTTTATTAAATGAGCATTCTTTTGGGTGGCCTCTCGGACTGATTTTAGTCACTGGATTCTTTTTTTTTTTTGTTTTTCCATTAGAGAAATAAAAGATGAGAACATATGTTTCTACATTTTGTAGTTTTGAGGCAGTATGTTATCTTTTCTTTTTTTTTGACAAATTATTTACGGTTTCTTATCAGAAACCTGTGTTTTGGGGTTACTACTGTTCTTTGAATGTTGTGTCTTAGACAGTGCAAGCATGGTGCTTATGGTTCTTGGTGGGTTTATTTATGGTTAGCAGTTTCAACATTCAATGTCCGGTGTTGTGCGAAACCGTCCCCATTTTCTTTTGAATGTTGACAATCCCTATAATAGATGCATGTGAATGCACGACAATCCCTCCAAGGAGGGATGGTTCATATCGACCATCTGTCCGCGAGAATGGACACTGCGGATCTGCGTCCGGTACACACAAACAATAATACATGTAGTCTGGTAGGCTTTTGAATGGACACTGCTGATCTGCATCTCGTATACAAACAATAATAAATGTAGTCTGGTAGTCTTTGTTTTATTTTATGTCTATGTGCTTGTGCTGTTAGGGCAAGATCCTGGGGTTAACAGAATAACCCCGCAAAAAAACATGTTTGGTGGCTCCGTTTAGATCCTGGGGTTAACAAAATGTGGTTTTGAATAACCATGTTATCCTTCAAAAAACTATGTTTGGTATTTTAGTGGTCACGTAACCGCGTTGTGTTCCCATAAAGGGATCGGCAAAGTCATGAAAAAAAAAGGGGGTTTTGTTTATGCGTCTCTTTCGCGCATGGCCATCTAGAGGGCGTTAAATTGTGTATTGGCAATTTGGTAAGAGTTTTGCCCAATTATAAGCAATGTCTTTGTATGAGAAACACGTGTATATTTTAGGGTTTTTTAAAAGAAAGAAAATGCATACTTGTCTTGTTATAAGAGAACTTAGGAGTATAACACGCATGTACGCTCAGTTTGAGTGAGGGACTCGTGGCCTTCATGTACGAGTGAGGGACTCGTGGCCTTCCTAGGGAGAGAATTTTCGCAGAGCTATAAATTTTTATAGAGAAGGGGCGGAGAGAGATGGTAAAATTGCATATCTTCGTCGAGTTTCTCAATGGAATGACCAATTACTTGCATGTAAGCTTGTATCCCATTTACATATTGTCTTTGTATCTAAAAGTGTCATTTAAGACCGTACTTGATAAAGGGTTGATAAGATACTTGTACTGGTAAGGTAACTTTCTTCCCAAGGTGGGTTTCCTTCTGGATTAGGGTTTTCCAAGCAACAATTGAGAAATACATTTACATATTTTCATACATACCAAACGTGTCCCAAATAGTATAAACCCAGGCTATGCAAAATAGTTGATCCAAACGAGGGTTATCTACAAGCTATCCAAACAGTCATTTCTCAATAACCAGGTTTTTGACATAACCAGAGTTTGCATAACCATGGTATGATCTAAAATAAGGTTTTGCTTACCCTAAGATCCAAACGCACCTTTAATGAATAAAAACTAGTGACCTTTCCTAAGGATGTATTTAGTTACTTTTCATATTCGACACTCCACAATTTTGTGTAATACTGTATTTGAGATATGGGAAGCTTTAGCCTTGAGGATTGGTCATTTATTTTTCGCAACAAAATTATCGTACAAATCCCTAAAATTAATACATGGGATTCTTTAAAAAGATGCCATTTATTTTCTATATATAGAGGTTATAATCATTTTTGTCTCTTAAATTTTTAAATGGGTGGTGGTAAGAGCGTCATCGAATATAGAGTTTCAAAAAAACAATTTTTCTTATTTTGTGACTCACCTCAAGCCATCCAATTTGACATCTGATGAGTAGGAATGATTGTGACCTTCATGTACAAAATATAAATGGCCTCTTTATAGACAATCCCTTAATAGACCTAAAAATTTTTAATTTTACATTTAAGTCCTTTTGTCAAAACTTTTTATAATTAAAATCATCACGAATTCAACCTTCAAAGGTTCGGACTAGTTTACATATGTCGTTAAGGTCAACATTGAAAGATCGAACTTGCAAGTTTGACCACATTGAAGGGTCAGGCTTGCAAGTTCGACATTATGAAAAGGAAGGATGATTCTCGCATGCCATTTAGACATTATGGAAAGTCTTACAGTTGATTGAGTTGGACCCTTTTAAGGGTCAAAAAGATTAAACTAAGGCCCCAAATTGGGCACTATGGGGTAAGTGCGAAGTAAGAAAGTAAATTGGCTTGGTTTGTTGTGGATTCCGGATGAAATTCAAAATTTCAATGGGTTTCTGATGGTGGTAGTGAGTTGAAAAGCTGCATTTGAGAAGCTGTTTTATACTTTAATATAAATTGTGAATTATCCATCTTTTAATTTGTATCAATTAGGAAGTTCATGTCCCTTGTGCAAACTTGTGTATTTACATCACTAGACCAAATCAAGAAGCCTGGGCATTAAATCAAAGGATGCGCTTGTTTTGTTTCTCAACAAACTCGAATGTTCCTCATGGAAACGTTGTGTTTCTCCACTAGATGAATGGCAATTGCATGATTTCAAGTCATCTTGTTCTAATTTTATCTATTGTTTTAGAGTTCTGAGCCCCCTCCATGTGTTTTCTAGTGTTTCTTTAAGTTTGACCTTTGAAGGGTGGAACTCAAGCAAGATTTGACCCTTGCAAGGTCGAACTCAAGCAAGTTTTGATCCTTGCACTGTCGAACTCAAGCAAGTTTGATGAGCTAATCATGAGGAACAGTTTGACCCTTGAAAGAGTTAAACTGGCTTTCGAATTTAACAAAAGGAAAAAGTTCAAATAGAGCCAAGGCTGTAAACAATTAAATTAGAGCACATCTCAAAAATTTCAGTAGAAGAGGTTGTTTTGATTCCCAAATATCCTCAAATTGATCATCTCGACAACAAGATGCATGGATATGAGAAAAAAATGGATTTCAAGTTTTGGAAATAGTGCGTCTTGTAACATATTTTTGGACTGTCAATTTTCAAGATTTCCAAGTTTTCATAGATCTACTCGATCTACAGTATTTTTGAAGCTTTAAATTTTATAGTTAAAGATGAAAAAGATGAAAGTATATTTTGAGGCTATCACAAAGATTTCTAGTATTGAAAGTATGCTTTGCTTTATTGAAAGTATATTTTGAGGCTACCACATTTCTCCACACTATTTGAAGGTGTCCTTTACTTTAATTGCATAGAGCCTAAGTTCTGTAAAAAACCGCACCCTTTAACAAATATAAATTAATTAGACCCTTAACAATGGAGTTAATCTGAATCTCTCTGGTTTGTACTTCTCAGCATCTTCCCAGTGTTGTCAATCCCTTCCAATGGGGAGGTATCTCATATCCATCTATGGTGCAGCTTTCAATGGATTCTCAAGGCACTATCAATGGGAATGGAGGGTGCAAACTCAGTGTCTCCTGAACCGCTGACGTCAGATAGTTCAATTCACAAGGATCATTTTCTTCATTCATTTCTCTAGCTTTACAACCAATCCTACATCCACTTCTGCTCTGTCCATGAATCTAAGATTCTTCATTAGCTCTGCCATTATAAAGTAGTAGAGGTATCTTTCTAGTAAAGGAGGTGGTATCTCTGCCTGATAAAAATGCATTCTTGTCATTAATGTTATTGTACGTTGATGTGCCTTGCCATAGACTTTTCTATTTGGTGTCTTAAATCTGTTAATTCTAGAAATGCTGAAAGCAATTCTAACTAGAGATCGAGAACAACATTGAATTTCACCATGAACTTTTAACTTGCCAAGATGATGTTCATGACATCGGTCCAGTTCAAATACGAATTCCCCAACCCATCCAGTAGCTCCCAAACCCATCGACTAGAAGTTCAAACATGTCCCCCACCAAATTCCCTCTCCGTCTAAACCCACCAAGCAAATGATCTTGGTCTCTTGGATCACCTTTTCAAGAGATATATCCAGCTACTCATGACTCCTCTCAAACCGACCTTAAACCCCTTAATTCATTAACTAAGTCAACAGATGGGAAGAAATCTTCCCACACAAGTAGCTCAACAGATAACATCCAAAAGAAAAAACAATATTCCTTAGGTGTGTCAGATCTATGTACTCTTCGAATCATGCAGAGACACTTGAGCTTGAGTATGCTGTAAGTACCCAATGCTTCAGAACTAAGTTGAGGACAAAAGGCTTGCAATTAGCAGCCTTATGGGATGAATCCTACATCTAAGCAACTGCAAGTCATGGCCATAGTGAAGGCGCCCCTATGACTATCAGTTTGGCAAGATCATAGATCTCAAGGTTCAGAGAGGCAAGAAGTGGGGAAGAGATGACTATGTTGTAATCGTGGCCAAGATGTGGGTGCATGATTGAACTATACTTTGCTTCAAGAGGTTTGTGAAGGTACAAATGCATTAGCCCGCCAAATTGGTGCAAGTTGCTGATGATGGCTAGGGGACAAGGGCCCAGAGGAAGGTCAGTTTTCCATTTCTCGACTCTCTTGATGGGGTAGAGACAAAGGGCGAAAAGAGAGAAGTCATGAGAGAGAAAGGGTTTTAAATGAATTGATGATCCTCTGTGAGAGTTGTAAGGACAATGGCTAATGTTGGAGATGATCCTTGTTCAGAACATATAATATAGGGAAGAAGATTAATGAGGCTCGCAATATGGCAAAAGTTTCAAATGATCTGTCTCTTTCTCCTTTATAGATCCACACATACAAATACGTTGTGTCTACAGTGCAAAGGTCCAACGATCCACCATACCCTAAATGACAGAGAAGGAGATGAGGATATTTACGAATAGAAAAAATCTTTTTCTAAACAAAGGAAGAATGGGAAATATCTTATTCATATGATTAATAATTAATCTCTCATCATGAACGAGCACGGGGTATGGAATACCATGGAATATAGGAATATAAAGAGAAAGGTGATGGTTTCCTTCGTGGGTACAGAAGGGGATTTGGTTCTCCGGCATCGCGTCTCGTCCTCCCCCGGCAGAAGAGATAAGAGACTTCAGCTAACTACAGAGGTAGAGGTAGAGGCTTCGGCTGAAGAGATGGAAGTGGACGAAAATAAAGATTTGCAAATCTCAGATAGCTTTCGTTCCTTTACATAGATAAACAACTAAAAATGTGTTTACTTCATAATACAAATGGTTGATCATGGATATTAGCTGGAGATTGGTGTAATTTGAATTATAGTCTTGTTTCATATTAATGTTGATGTTAATGCCTTGGATGGTTCACTTAAATCCTTGAAGGCAGACCCAGTTAAAAAATAAAAAAATAGAAGTAGAAATAAGAAACAAAACAATAAAAATAGAAAACTGGGGAAGGTGGTGGGGGGAGGTTTTCAGGTATGGGAAGAGAGATGGTTGTTTTTGTTTTTTGATGCAGAGAGATGAGCCAGGGATCCCTACTGCCCATTTTAATTTTATGCTATTGGACCACTTCACAGTTTTAAACAAATTTATAGATAACATAGAGAAACTGGATAATAACATTGAGAAACTGGATATATATTTACTCCACTGGAATGATGCGAGAAGTATCATCCTTCCAGAAAAACCACGAGAATTACAGGGTTGAAAGATGAAAATTATTCATCACTACAAGATGATCATAAAAGCCGAGGATGTCTGGATCAAAATTTAAAATCCTCGTGATCTTGATCAGTAATTTCTAAGTAGTCTACTGATTCAAAACCTTGGATATCACTACTGTAACATGTGGCTACTTTTTGAGAGATGTTTTGGGTCTTGATACTGCAGATCCTGAAGAATGTGTCCCCCTTGGCTGAGTCCTTACTTGGCTATCCTGAGGAGTTCTTTTGCTTTTGCCTGAAGTGGTTTCTTGAACATTTCTTGAATTGACCTTAACAGAAGGGTTTGTGGGTTGAAGTGGGTTGCTTTTCTTGGTAGCTGACGTTCTAACTTGTGTTAACTTGTTCCTGTTACCGAGTACTTCATCATTGACTGAAACCAACAAACCCAAAAGAAGCAACAATCACCCTTCATATCTACTACTACAAACAAGTACTACAAACAAACAGTCCAATGACACAAAAAATCTCGCCCTCTCTCTCTCTCTCTCTCTCTCTCTCTCTCTCTC